GAAGGTGAGCAGAAATTATTTTAACTTAACTTTAACATTAATTAAAAAAAATAGAAAATATGTATCTATGCCATAATAGAGATGGTCATTTTGGAAAGAGCCAAAGGATATCTTTTCAACTATATCACAATGTTAAAAGTTTATTTATCTAACTATTCCTCATCTATTCACATCACATTGATTATATCTCTTACTCATAAAAATTCTAATATTTTATGTTTTAGTATCTTCTGCTACATATGCTTAAAACATCATGGAATAAAGATATTTGTTTGCAAAATAAACCTTTTCTGGGACAAGTTTTTAGAACATATAAATAGAAATGCTAGTTACTAGAAACTAAGTAGAGTCAACTATGTAAATAAATCATTTGTTACTCTATTTTAAGGAATAATAATATACCACTTATCCATTTAATAATTGCAGGAAGTCAAAATAAATTTTGATCTTACTCTGTAGTAAACTAAAAATCAAAACACAAAAATTGTAAAATTGTGAGAGTTGTGAGGCCGGAGACCTATGACATTAAAAAGTGTTTTTAAACCATATATTAGGAATGAAAATCATCTTGTCTACTGGAAAATATATCTAAAAAGTTCTCAGTTTTTAAAATTAGTTAAAATAAGTGAACCTGTGCTTTGACACCTTATGGTAGAGGTGACATTGATGGATGTGTCCATGGACGAGTGATTCTGAACTGTAGCATCTCCTGACCTGCAGGTGTTCCCATATCCTTCCCCTGTTTGGGGTAGTAATGGCTGTTTGCGGTTTGTCTGTGAATTATACATCTTTGCTAAAAGTCAATCTTACTCCTTTTGCATGTCCTGCTATGTGCCAGCATGATCTCCTGGAGCAGCCGTGGGTAGTTGCCTTCCCTTTGAAATTGTGATTTAGGACATCTAGATAAATTCCTTTTCTCAGTTCACTTCCTCAGTCCTTCATTGCCCTATTTCATATGTTTAAAGTTATTTTATTTTCTGATGGTTGTCTCACTTACTCACATGTCAGTTGAAGGGGAACTGAGTCCTGATTTCCTTGAAAAGTTATATTAATATGTTTCAGGAAACCATATTTTTGTGATCAGATTCCATTTTTGATTTTAGGAAATTTTAGCCTAATAAATGTGCATGGAAATTCTTGAAATAGCAAAGTACTTGGAAATTCCTGGCTCTGTAGACATTTAATTAGACCCAGATTTGGAACTGATATGGAAATCACCTTTAGTTTCTGTAGCTCACATGTCAATCTGGTCAATATCAAATGTTGAATATAATTTCATTTTGTTAAAGATGAATTGAAGTGTCTCTCTCTCTCTCTCTCTCTCTCTCTATATATATATATATATATATATATATATACATATATCTACTATATAATAAAGAGGTAATATGCAAATTGACCATTAGGCCCTCATAAGATGGCTGCATACAACCAGGCTGGCAGGGGGTTAGTGAGAGATGACCAAATGACTGAACAGCAGGCTGCATGGGTGGCCAGGCCAGTGAGGAGGACATGAGGGGTGACCAGACTGGTGGTGGTGGGGCAGTTGGGGGTGACCTGGCAGGCAAGCAGGTGAGCTTTTAGGAGCCAGTGGTCCAGGATTATGAGAGGGATGTCTGACTGCCAATATAGGCCCGAAATCGCCGGTAGTCAGACATCCCCCAAGGGATTCCAGATTGGAGAGGGTGCAGGTTGGGCTGAGGGGACCCCCTCCACCATGCTAGAATTTTGTGCACTGGGCCTCTAGTGTGTATATATATATATATATATATATATATATATATATATATAATTATATATATATACTATTATATATATAGTGTATATATATATATATATATAGTGTGTATATATATATAATTTTTTAAAAATATGGTTAAGCTTAGCCTTTATTATTAAGTACAATATCACTTTTCTTCCAACTATAATTTTATATCATAATAAACTATCTGGAGTCTGCCCAATCTGAGTGGTGTTTAAACATTATTGTTTATTAATTTTTATATCCTCACCTGAGGATATGTTTATTGATTTTAGAGAGAGTAGGTGGGAGAGAGAGAAAACGAGAAAGAGAAACCGTTTATGTAAGCAAAAAACATCCATCAGTTGTCTCTCGTACTTGCCCCAACTGGGGATCGAACTGGCAACTTAGGTATGTGCCCTGATGGAATCACACCTGAAACCTCTTGGTGTACATGTTGTTGCTCCAACCAACTCAATTACCTGGACAAGGCAAAACACCATTGCTTACTTAGGAAGCCATCTTTCTTGAGCTGTATTTTCACAGTTGCAAATTTTAAAGTTATTTTAGAGATAGTATCACTTTGTTAACATGCTTCAAATAAATTTGTTTATTATATTCAATTTTCTAAAGTTAGGCAGTGACAAGCTGATAGGGGATGTAAAATTATTTTTTAATGAAGAAACTTAACTTTTAAAAAACATGTAATTATGTTATTCATGTTGAATTATTGATAATTTCTGGAAAAGAAGCGTTGTCACCATTATACATTTTATATAAATTCATTTATTTTCTACCTGCAACCTTACATTTTATCATACACTAGAGGTCCGATGCATGAAATTTGTGCAAGAGCAGATCTTCCTTCCTCCAGCTGCCAGCACCGGCTTCCCTCTGGCACTCAGGACCCAGGCTTCCCTTACAGCCCTGGCTTTGTCTGGAAGGTCTTCCAGAAAGGACATCCGGTTTAATTTGCATATTATGCTTTTATTATTATAGAGACTATGTAAAATAATTATATAAGGTGAATACCTAAAATTTATTTTGAGTATTTGATGTTCAGCTCCACTAAATATGGACTACTGGGTGTTAATCTTGAAAGCTGTAGATACCAGGCACAAGTAGAAGTGTGAAAGGAAGCTAACTCTGATAAATTTGTGGAAGATAAGAGGCTTCAACTGAAGAACTCTGTATGCTTGGTTATAACATTGAACACTCCAGGCTTAGCTGCTGACTAGGAGGGGATCAACTGGCATTTGTGTGTTGAGGGGTGAGGAAGACATGGAGGTTATTAGACTTTAAAATAACTGGTAAAAGTTCTTCCCACAGATATTTATCCATTGCAGGCATATTTGTGTGCTTATTATGTACTAGACTCTTGGGATATATTGCTAAATTAGAAAGGTACAGCGTTTGCCTTCCAGAGCTTATAGTCTACTGGAAGAATTAGACGAAGAAGCATAACAGATGCATACATTAAATAATGATAAAGCCAGTCGACTGCCATGAAGAGAGGCAGAGCAGGAAAATATCTAAGGGACTCACCGAGGAAAGTACTCTCTGAAGAGATGACTTTATGGGTTAAACTTGCGAGGAGGGATAGAGAGCTGTCTTGATTGAGGACAAGAGTCAGTGGCAGAAGTAAAGGCAGGTGGTGGGTGAGTAGATTATGGGGTTGGATCACAGACAGGGAGGAGGGCGAAGATGGATCACAGGCAGGGAGGAGGGCGAAGATGGATTTAGAGAGGAAGGCCAGAGACTGGTGGTAAACATCTCTACCTGGAAAATAAAAATATTTTTTAAACCCAGTCAATAATTTGCTCAGCTCATTTTCTGAATCGAGAAACATTTTTATATCTCACTAGCTTATGTGCCATAGCAAAATAAAAGGAAACTGTTTAGAAGTCAAGCTTTTGCGGGAAGACATCAAATGAAGAAAATGAGTCTTTTCCCCACATGCACACCCTACAAGTTAAGTGCACGGGAGAGCCACCGTCTATTTAAAGAAACATTTCCCAATAAAAAAAAAAATAAAAAAAAAGACGGCTTCCCCATCAGAAGCATCACTGCAAGACATTTCCTTTCCTATTCCTATTCCTCACTCTCTTTAAAAGTCTTTCTTAAGTTAAAACCCAGAATCCCTTGACCCTCAAAGGAACAGAGATGGGAAGGGACTCCATGTGTCTCTCACATACACACACACACACACATACACACACACACACACACACACACACACACACACACACACACACACACGTTCTCCCCAGATCTGTGCGAATAACACGAGGCCACATGTGACATGAATGGAAATGCTGGTCCCTGGCTCCCGGGCAGGGGGCAGTCTCTAAGACCCAGCAGCACACCGTGCCTGTCTGGAGAGCAGAGGTAGCCTTTGACAGGGAGAGCCATCCCTCCCTTGCATGCTGGCTGTGGGAGAGAGAAGTGAAGTCAGGCACCTGGTGGCCAAGGCCAGTAACACAGCAAAGCGGGGAGGACCATTCCTCTCTCCCCCTTTTCCCCCCTCTCCTTGCTGGGAGCCACCTCCTCTCCTCCCAACTCTCAGAGCCTAACCTTCCAAGGAGAACACCCTCTCCAGACTTTGTGATCTTTGCCTGGTAGAGGGGACACCTCGGAGCTGCAAAGCCTTTGCTCCCAGCTCCGGGCAGGACTTGTTGGGGGATTCGGCGCCCGGGAACCGGTCCCTGCTCCGGCTCCTCCGGCTCCTCCGGCTGGGACTCCCGGGTGCGGCATCAGCTGCGGGAGGAAGCCCGGCGGCCCGAGGCAGCCTTCCCTCCTGGGCTCTTCCCTGCACTTTGCACACATCTGCCTGGGATTTGCCGCATGACGCTGCTGTCCGGGGAAGCCAGCGGCTCCTCTGCTCGGGATGCAGCAGCCGTTCGCCGGCTTCTGAGCTGATTTGCAGGAGGAGGAATCAGACCGGAGCCTGGAGGTCTTCCCCCCGCTGGCTGCATCCCATTGAACCGGGCTGCGCCGTCCGTGGTCAAGATCACCTGTCACCGAGATCCCGGAGGAAGTCAAACAAAGTGCATTGTTCATTAATATTTATTTTTTTGATTATTTATTATTATTTTAAACCGGCGGCGGCGGCCGCGGCGCGATCACGGAGAATGAGCCTGAGCGGGGCGGCCGGGGCTGGGCGGAGGGCACGGCTGAGTTTGGGCTGGAAACTGAAGGACTAGGTCGCTCCCGGGGACCCCTTGCCCGGGTTCCTGCCCGCTCCCCCCAGCTCCGCTCCATGGACAGAGCAACGGACCTGGACATCGAGGAGCTCAAGGTGCGTGGTCCTGGGCATCCTTCCCTTCGGGGGGCGCCCCGGCTCTTCCTCTCCCGCCGCGGGAGGAGTTGGGGGCCCCTTTGGACGGCGAGGGGGTTTTGGGGGGGAGGCTTCCCCCTCGGAGTGGCGCCGCCTGGGAAGACCTGAGGGGCCGAGGATGCTGAGGGAGGGCGGATTTGGGGGCTCCGCTGGTCTCTGGGGCTGGGCTCCCTGCCCTGCAGGCTCCTCTGACTACAGTCTTCCTGTCCCCGCTCCTGGGGCTCAGCTGCAGCAGCACTTGGGGTGCAAGACCAGCACCCGGTGCTGCTGATCGCTGGGGAAGCCGCGGTGGCAGCGCGGTCCCTGCCCGCCTGCTGCCCAGTGAAGTTGCCCGAGCTGCGAGCTGCGGCCACTTTCCTCCGCTCCCGGCCCCGGCCCCGGCCCCCTCCTGTCCGCGGGGTCAACCTTTTTCTGCAAATGGGTCCGCAGCCCCGTGAGACCCTGCTCCCCAGGGCTGCGTGGCCCTGGGCGGCGCGAACCCCTGTTCACTGAGGGATGTGGGAGGGCGGGAGACCAGCAGCAAGTGGGGCTGGAGAGGTCCCCGCGCACCCAGCGATGCGCCTGCTCCGTCAGCCCGGGCTCTGGAGCTGGGCTGGGAGTGCGGTGGGGGGCTGGAGGGAGAGCTGGTCCGGACTGCAGGCTGGGAGGTCGCCTGGGGGTGCTCCCAGCGTCCCCTCCCCGCTGCCGCCCTGGGAACGCACTGTCTCGCCCCAGCTCTGAGCCCCCGCCTCCCGCTGGACCCCCAGGGCGCCCTCTGGCTCCCCAGTCCCCGCTGGGCTGTGAGGGGCTGGCCGGCAGGAACATCAGGCTGGCAGCTCACCCCTCTGCCCATGGGCACTGCTGCCTGCAGAGCTGGTTTACAAAACAAACACAAAAACCAACTAAAAAATAACCCACCTAAAATTAAAAAAAAATTTTTTTTTAAATCAACAACCACAAAAACATTTAAATGTCCCGCTCGCTGGAAATGAAAAAGCTGGAAAGGGACCAGGTCCTTTCTTTTTATTCTTCACCCTTCCGATGGCTAGGCATCGTTTACCCTCTACTCGGTTGCTTAAAGGGGTTGTTTATTTACTTTTCCTTTTGCTAGAGGCTCAATTCAGAGGGTGTTTGTGCAGGTGAGGGTTTCAGCCACTCCTGCCCACTGGGGAAAGTTGAGGCGTAGAGGTTTTCCCAGGAAACGTCAGAGGAATGAAGGTGCCCAGTAAGCGGAGAGGGTTGGCGGAATCCCCTGTAGGGGGCAGAGGGCTCTCCTGTTGGTCTAAGGGCCTGAAGGGAGAAGGGGCAGAAAGGTGGTCTGGGGCTTGGCTGATGGAGATGGAGGTGGAGAGGGGAAGTGCCATCAGAACGTACACACCACGTCAGTGAAGATTCTGGGTTTGCTGGGAAAAGAGAAGTAAGGATGGGGCATATTTGCTGCTCCGGTGAAAGTTGGGGAACAAGTTTCTGTAATGGCCAAGGTCAGAGTCAGTAGACCTTGGTTGGCCTGGAATAGAGATCTCCTATGATCTCTGGACTACCCTGATATTGGACACAGACACTTGTGTTTGACAGGATCCCCTGCTGCCTTTTCCCAAGCATCCCCGTCATTGGCAATGTTTCATCAGAGATGCAAAGAACACAGGAATGCCTTTCCTGACGTACATTGTCGTGCAGAGACAAAGTCTCCAGATTTTTATTACTTTTGTTATATGTAGAGGTATGGTGCAGAGGAAAGTTTTTTCTTATGAGAAATGGGAGAGAAAAGTGATTAAGGGTAATCATTTCCCCTGATACCCATTGGCTTCCTACTAGTTTAGTCCCCACTGAACCCTGGCACCACTTACATTGTTTAAATCAGCAAGAGAGCAAACCCATAGGACTGGAAACTTCTGTCTACTTTAGTAGAAGGTCCCAGCTTCACCTCAGAACTGCATGTCAGTTCAGACTCTCACAGTCAGAGTGTGCTGTGCTTTGTGGAGGAGGAGCAGAGAGTTGAAAAGGAAAAGGCTTGGGAGTGAGGGAGTGTAGTGGCAATGACCAACAGACTGGGAAGGCATGAAGGCTGTTAGAGGTGAAGATCTGTTGAGGTTGCTGAAAAATTATGGCAGGGACAAGCCACTGTTGAGAGACGTAACTGGCAAGAAAGGTAAAGAAGTCAGGCTTTATTTAGAGAGAGAGGGGGTCGGGGGAGAGGGAGAGGGAGAGAGATATTCCAGTTTGTGAAATGCATTTGTGTTGTCAGGTTCGTCTGCACTTCTGGAACACAGGGCTTTGAAAATTACTCTGGACTATGTACGCTCTCTAGAGGTGGGCATACTGCGTGTGGAATACGTTGTCTGGATTTCCTCTGATCAGCAGAATCCATTGGCTTGGGTTTTGTGGACAGTTCTCCTTGAAGTTATTTTCTCGTTTGTTCTTGCTGCAAAGACCCTCCTGGTGGTCTTTGGAGGGTGGGGGTGGAGAAAGCTGGGCTACTTATTTTTGACATTATTTACTTGTTGGCTTTTCTTCCTGTGATCCAAGGATGCTTACATTAAGGCACATCCATGTAAGAACTTTTTCATTCAAATAGCATGAAAATAAAATATTCACTGGGCTCTGAGAAATAAATAAATGAACATAATAATACTACTCGGCTTAGTTTTAGGTCATTCCTATTATTAGGTAAAGTTGCTTACCTTAGGTCTTAGGTATTCAGCCAATTCTTTATGTTTTTGGTAAATTATTTTCTCTTTAGCAGATTTTAACAGAAGTCTTTATATATTGCTACGCCGCATGTGTGGATATTGATTTTTTTGAAATATTGTGTCCAGTAAATAGTGCTGTCTTTTGCAAGTTTTTAAGCTAAAAATAAGCTTCAATAATGAAGGGTTAAGCCATTGCCTTCCTTACCATGAAACCAAATATACTCTGCATATTAAAATATTTACTGGTGGAAAACGGAAATATAGGGATGTGCAGGAGACTTGCTAATGAAGGTACACCTGTTTCATCTTCTCTGGTGATGAAACCGATCCGTGTTGAAAAGGGAGAGTTCTCATCCAAAGAATTTCAGCCTGTTCTTTTCCCTTTGATCTCTCTCTCTCTCTCTTCCTCCAATAAATGTATAAGCTTTACTCTGGATTTTGCCCTGATGTTTGTTTTAAAGAAGAAACAACATCAAACCATCCAAAATATGAGTTATTGCTTTGGAAATGTGGGTGTTAATGAATATTGACAGTAGAGGAAACATGTTTTATCCTGGACTATCTCTGAATTATTGAGCACTTTTAGGGGTTATTTAAAATAATTTAGTTTTTTTGTTGTTGTTGTTGTTGTTTTTTCTGTGTAGTTGCCCTCATTTGAACAATGTATGTTATGCCCCAGAAGAGAGAATGCTGCTAATGTTCAGAGCTAATACTTGTGAATTTGTTTGTTGTAGCATTTATTTATGAGATAGTAGGCTGAGTAAATGGTTATACTTAAATAATACACATAACTCTAGTGAGTCCTTTACTGAACTTTTGAAATAAGAGTTTTAATTTACTCATATTAACTTGGAAATCAAGAAATTATGCTTTCAGCTGCTAAGCACTATTTATAGATAATTGTAATTTGCTGAGAGATAAAAAAACATAAAACAAAAAAATGGTGTAGTATAATTTTTGCAGACTTATTTGACCCCAGCTTTTATTTATTATTTGTCAGGATTGTTACCTTAATAGGATCACTGGCTAGAAGCCTAAAAAAATTAAATGTTTTCATTACTTGCAGAACATAAACAATATGCTTCTGAAATGTGTTCTTAATTGTCATTTTCAAAGGTGCAAAAATGATAAAGTACATAGTTAATCCTGAGATGCACAAAACAACTTTTCAATAAATATAACTATAGTTGTTAGATTTAATTAACTGCAGTGCAGTCCCTGTTGCTTAATTTTATCTATTTAATTTAAGTAACATTTCATCTATAAAGAATTTTAAACATGTCCTAGATAGTGAGGTAAAAGCTTCCCTGAGTAATACAATTAGGTCTTTAAGAAAGCATTGCGTGGGCCAGAAATATTCCAGCAAAAGTAACATTGCACAGGTCTTTAAACAAGTGGTTGGTTCAAAACTGCTGAGGTCTTAAACTAAAGCTTGTAGTACCTTCATCTACAATTTTAATGAAGTAAGAGAGTTGGTGCCTAAAAGAGTTCTAAAAATGTTTTTTTGTTTCATCAATAAGACACTCAGGGAAGTCAGGCTTACTGCAGTGTAAGAGGCTTTGTGATGAGTCTAAGTAGGTGGTATTTTTTGGTAGTCATTCCATAGTGAAAAATAGCACTCTCCAACAAATGTCATATTTTTAGCAATCTGCCTTTTATATCCATTTCATGGCTTAGAATAGGGAAACATACTTGTGAATAATGAATTATCTGCCTCTTTCACGTCTAGAGGCATTATAACTTCTCCCAATCCAGGCCTAGTTCCAATTCTTTTCTGGTCACAGGACGAGTCATGAAGATGTAGCAACACTTAACCTGATTTATTTCTATTCAAAATATGGGTTTGTTTTGCTAAAGTTGAAATACATTGCAAGTAACAGTAGTGAAACATTCTTTTTCTTTTTTTTTAAATACAGTTAGGAGCAATGAGTGAACATTTTTTATATGAGTGGTAAAAGAATTAAGAAAAATATTTTTGAGGGAAGTTGTGCAAATGACTATTATAGAAATCTTTAGTGTCCTGCTGTCATCCCTAAGTATATATTCCGGTCTCCACACTGGCTATTATAGATTTGCTGATCTCTGAACTTTACCAGTTGAAAATACATCAAATTTTGAAGGTTCATTTAAAAAGGATATTTTAAGATTTATGGACTCAAAATCACAGCTATACAAGTGGCTTAATGCTGTAAGACAATCATAAATCAGCATGTGTCTTTAGAGACATTCCTTTTATAGGATATTTAGTGTTTCCCCTATCATATTGGAATTTCAGCTAAAATATGATTTGGC